ATGCATTAAGTGTCAGGCCAGTAAGCAAGGCCGCAAAGATAAGAGGTGCAGGCTGAGGGCAGGAGGATGTCAATTCTGAAAGTACACACTAAATTTTTAAATCTCAGCAAGGACAAGGGAGAGCACAGGATGGTGCCTGCCAGCCTGCGTCCCAGAGGGTATTTTAGCAGACCCCGAGATGTGTGCTGAATTGAACGCGTGCCCCTCAAGCCACCCATTTTAAGATAAGCAAATAAGCCTCTAGGCACTTTCCAGGTGGTGGCCCCTGTGCTGGGCCCTGGGGCAGAACCTAAATCACAGCAGAAACAGCTTTATCAGGGATAACAGACTGTCAAATACTGAGTCACCAAGACATCTTCCTCAAAATGACACCAGACTGCCAAAAAATGAAAAATGTCCTCATTTTCAAAGAGACACTCAAATTTCAAAGTCAATTTTAGAAGGCAGTGGACTACCTAGACAGAGACATTCTGAGAGACCGAGTACTTCTTCAGGATCTGAAGTATGGGCTAAAGAGAGACTCCTGAGTGAAAGGCCATATTCCAGATATGAAAGAACTAAACACACTTCATGTCTTTTAAGTTCTCAGCACAAGGATGTTGCTTAAAAAAAAAAAAATGGTAACTCTATGCAGGGCAGATCAGGAAAAGATCCACCCTCTGAAGAGGTGAAATAAAATCCACTTCCTCAAATAATCCATATATTAAATTAATCAAAAACATGGGAAAAGATAAAGCCAAACAGCAAATCATGATCATTTTTATGAACAATAAATGAAGCTTTCAGTGGTGTAAAAACTGAAAAACATTTTACTGTAAATACTGATGACTGGAATCCTATCTGAACTGTTCCACTCGTGTTCCAAACAGAGACAGAAATGCCACTAAAGAGAAGGTTAGTAGGACCCACGATGGCTACCCATGACAATAAAGTATCTTACAATCATGGGCTCAAGGGAGGATGTGGGCCAATTAAACCCGAGAAGGTACTAGAATCATCTATTCCTGTGGAATATGCCAACTGTGGAAACCTGGAAATGAACATTCTGTATTTTGTTGGGGAGACAACAAGGTTTACTGAGCAGAAATTGAAGCTCTCCATTTTTCAGGTACGAGAGCAGTTGTTAAATTTGCTGAATGAGGAAACCACGAAGAAGCACCCCAAAGCAACACCGGCCTGCTCAAACAGAGGCACGAGACGAGGAAGGACCTACAACCAAACTCTTGAGCTCCGCAGGGAAGGTAAAGGCCAAACAAGAGGACCTACTCAGCCAACCCAACAGTTTTACCAACCTCCCCAGGCTTGGAGCTAAGACCAAGCAGAGTCTTTATGAAGGAGCCATTGACTAAAACTTCCAGATCAAATCCTGTTGTCAGACCTCATGCTTTCCCTTCAGAAGAAGCAGCCACTGTGGTGGATATTATTTAGCAAGTGAAAAAGTAGATTTTAGGAGGGAAAAAGTTCAACCCACACAAAGGATGGAAAAAAAATATGGAGTTCAATAAAGCAAACACTTTTTACAAGTGAAAGAAAGAATTGTTTCTTCTACCATCAATAAGACCAACATGTTATATTATAAGGAAAAAAAGAAAAGAAAAGAGAGTTTTAAAATCTCAGTGGGACAAAGTCTCTCACCTGATCTAAAATTCTTTCTAGGTGAAATTTTTATAGATTTCAAAGTTCCCATTAACGACACACTTCCAATCCTTTCAGCCATCCTCACAAGTCAGTCTGCAAGTCCCACGGCTGAGTGTGAAGGGAGTCTCGTGAGCTTCAGATAGAGGCAGAGAACTCACCTGAGAGCGCGGCCAGGGTTCGCTCCGCTGTTCCCCGGAGAGTTTCCCCGGGCTGCCACTCTGCCTGGGGAAGCATCCAAACATCCTGGTCTCCAAGCTTCTCTTTGACCAACAGAACAAGGTTCCTGTCTAGCTTCCGGTGCAGTGAAGTTCTGTCATTCTTTTTATCGGCTTCTGTGAAGAAAAGGGGATCAGAGAAGACAAAAAGACTGTGATCTGCCAGAACCAAGGAGAAGAGAGTTTTTACAGTCTTCCTTTAAGGTAGAGCTATAACCTTTACCCTCTTATAATCAAATTATGACCCTGACCCATCTCTCTAATTCAGACCCCTTTCAGGGTAGAGTCTCACAATCTTAAGAAAACTACAGTGTAAGAAGAAGAGAAAACCAAAAGCTGAACTTCTCCTTTGAAGAGCACAACGCAAGGTACTTTGAGCCGTTGGAAAAGAAGCTATACCCACACTACTTCAAACACTACCACTTCACTGGCTTAGACACTAACTATTACTGACTTAACTTGGCCCTGCTTTCTCTGTTCTTCAGTCTCCATCTGTGAAACAAAGGTAAGAGAACTCAATCCTCTGCTTTAGGAGAGATTTCAGATGAAACCGAGGAAACCCTAGCGGGAAAGGCTTAATTTCCCCCCAATCTCACTCCCAAACTCGGAGGTAAACTCAGATAACATTCATGAAGTTTAACTGAGAGAGAATAGGTTATCACAACACCCTTACCTCCCACTCAAAACTAACATCGGCCTTTAAAAATTATATTAGGTTGGAAATGAGGAACAGGGAAAAGAATTTATTTTTCTCCCACCTGAAAGAAGTTTTGCAATCATCTGCTACTTAAAATACAAAGCAGGGGCTAAGCAAATGTCCTCTGTCTGGGAACCTAAATATCCCCTTTTCCTTATTTCTTGCTGGCCTGAAAAGACCACAAACCTGTTATGCGAGCTCCAGGTTTAAACTGTAGAAATTTCTGCTCCCATACATCTTCCAAATCCTGCACCAGCAATACATTCTGTTCATCTTCTTCATCGTCATACAAGTCAGCTCTCTTCTTTGCCAGTCGTTGGGCTTCATCCAAAGCACGAAGCTCATGGTCTGAATACATACTTCTCTCTACCTCAATCTGGGAAAATAAAAAGGACAAAAAACAAAACAAGCAGAATAGAAAACAGAGCTATAGCACACTTGACATACTCAGAAGTTTACCACCCAGCATAACCAGACATACAATCAAAACACCACAGGAAAAAAAAGAAAGAAGGGGCGCCTGGGTGGCTCAGTCGTTGAGCGTCTGCCTTTGGCTCAGGTCATGATCCCAGGGTCCTGGGATCGAGCCCTGCATCGGGCTCCCTGCTCGGCGGGAAGCCTGCTTCTCCCTCTCCCACTCCCCCTGCTTGTGTTCCCTCTCTCACTGTGTCTCTCTCTGTCAAATAAATAAATAAAATCTTTAAAAAAAAAAAAAAGAAGAAGAAGAAAAGTCACCTGCACTTTGGGCTTGAGTTACATTTGCTAAAATGTTAGAATGTGATTGGAGGTCAAGCTGCTACAAAGAACAGAGGACTGGGACAGGCACTGCCTGCCCATTTAACCACACTCCAGTCCTGTCAGTCCTTGATCTCACCATGGACTTCCCTGCCTCGGGAGTTTACAGATATTGTTCCTTCTTCCTAGAATGTTTCCCCTCATGCTCTTCTCCTAGGAGATTCCTATTCATCCTTCAGATTTCAATTTAAATATCACTTTCTTCAAGGAGATATTCCTTGACACTTCCCATAAAATCAAATTAGATGTCCCCGTTAAGACTTTTTACAGTACCCTGTGTCTTCCTTTATAACACTTAGCAGGGTCTGCAGTTATATAGTCATATGATTATTTGGTTATTGACTAGCCCACCTCCACTAGACTGAACACTCTGAGAACCAGAGGCATGTCTGTCTTACTCATCTCTAGCACTTAGCACAGTGTCTATACAAAATACGTGATAAATGATTATCTATAAAATAAGCTATTTACAGAATAAGTTTATAAACCAAGTAAAAAGTACGAAGCGAAGTTTAGAGCTCCCAGTAGCCAACACAAAAAACATCTCAGATTCTAGGGAAACAGCAACCTTCAATCACTACCTGTTGGGATTTGAGCCCCTCACAGCCACCACACTGAATATTTGCCCGTTTCCTCACTTGCCACTCACATAGACAGACTTTATCACTGTCATCTTATAGATGTGCCCACTACCTTCTCCTAAAACACCACATCACAGACTCTCTCCTCTCTAAATTATCGACTACCTACGCTAGGGACTAAGTCGTCTTGTTCACCACCGCATACCTAGTGTGTTCAATGAAAAAGAAAAGCAACTCTAAAGGGTTGCCTAACGTGACAACAAAGACAGCCAAAGAAAACAAACTTATTGAACGCCTGCTATGTACCAAACCAACCCAGTAAGGTGGACACCGATGCTCAGGTTGAGTACGCTGAAGTTCAGAGAGGTGAAGTGACTTGCCCAAGGTCACTCAGACCGGTGCCGGAGTCGGGATCGAACCGTGGCCCACGTGCTTCTGTTGGTTCCCCAACAGGACTTCGAAGCGGCTAGCCGCACCTCAATCCTACCTGTTGTAGTAGAGCCGCCATCTCTTCCTGCAATGGAGTCAGCGGCTTCGAGACCAGCGGTGGCCGCTGCAGGCACACCGCGCCCAAAAGGCGCCATGGAGACCCGCTGCTCGAGGGTGCAGCCGCAAGGGCCAGGCTGCGAAAACCCAGGCTACCGGCCCAGAGCCCCTCGAACCGCCGCCAGCCCTTCGCCACCCCAAACAGAGTCGGCCTTACGGACGCCGCCATTCTTCTACCCTCCCACAATGTACCGCGGCTCCCTGCGGGGCCCTGGGCCAATCCCATGCTCCCACAAGGCAGCGCGGGAGCGGCAGGATGGAAAGAGTTCTGTCCGGTGAACAATTAGAACGAACCATTCCAATATGGAGGGGTGGGCGAAGATCTCATGTTAGAAGACTAGGGGAAAGGGAAGAAATTTCCAGTTGACACCCGACACGATAGTTATTGTAGAGCGTTTAAGTGGGAATAAAAATCTTTAGTGGACCTTATGAAGAGGAATGAGATGACTTTCCTTCTACGCCGTCCCCCACAAGCGCTCGTGGTGCGGGGCGCCGCTGCAGCTGCGCCAGGTTCCGCGGTCGCCGCGGACGGAAGCTGACGGGGGTCAATCCGAGTCATGCAGGTGGTACGAAAGACGGGGTCTTGGCTCTTGCGGTCGTGGGCTTGGCCACCGACGCCCAGGTAGGAATGATCGCGCGCGCGCGCGCACACACACACACACACGACTGCGCTCCTGCCTGTGGCCCTGAGCCCTGAGCCGCCTGGACTGCAGTGACCTTTAAGCCTGACCTCACCGAGCTTTTCTTCTCCGCAGGGTCGTGGCTGGGGCGCCAGCCTCCACCATCCACACCGGCGCCCAGCAGCTGCAAGACGCGGCGGCCAGTCAGGAGGTTGAGGAGAAGGCGGCGGCTCCGGCTTCGAGCCGCAGCAGCTTCAGGTGAGGGCCACTTAAGCCCGGCCCTCGGGACACCGGCACGGCCGTCCAGGGCCCGAGAACCAGTGAATTCCCAGCTCTGCCACTTGACATCTTTGGGACCTTATGCAAATTAGTATCTGAGCCCCAGCTTTCTCGTCTACAAATGGAAGGGATGCCGAGAGAGTTTGCGAGGATCAAATGAGATGAACCTTGGCACAAAGTGGGCGCTCTATGAACAGTTTGATGAATGAATGAGTGAATGTCGGAGGTGTATAGTAAATATCACTTTTTCCCTCTGAGAGGGGTACCACGGCAGACTAACAACCTTCCCTGGGCCTCGGATGCAAAATGGGAGTTGGGGGGCAGGGGGCGCTACGCTGTGGTGTCGATTATTGAGTTGGGGCAGGGTGGATTTTGTGCTCAGCCCTAGGGACTGGCCCCTTGCTTTCCATCAGTGCCCCCACCCCTATGTGCATTCACATCCATTTAACAAATGTTTACTGAAAACCTGCTGGGTGCCAGGCACTGTACTAGGTACTGGGAATACAAATACAAAAGATCATTCTTCCCCCACGAGTAGGTCACAGGCTACTGGGGAAGACAGACATGCAAGCATTTTCAGCATAATCTGGTCAGTAGTGTGCTGGAGGTAAGACCCGGTTGCTTGGAAGTATGAAGGAATGAGTGTCTTACTCCTGAGGAAATCAGGCAAGACTGCTGGGAAGATAATGTGGAGCTAAGAACTGAACTGAATGAGAGTTCAGCTGGACAACATGAAAGAGATGATTTTAGGCAAAGCTAATATTCTGTGTAAAGGCATGCAATATGAAAGCATATGGTATATTCAGCTGTGTGTGTGATGGCAGATGAGGCCAGCAAGAGAAGGAATCAGAAAGCCGAGGGTCTTATCTGTAACAGTGCGACTTTCACGCTCTTCCCACTGTAGACAGTGGGGAGCTCCTGAAGGAATTTAAGCCAAGATCCTGTTGGAGTCATTCAGCAACATCAGGCACTGTTTTAAGACATTAGGGACACATCAGTGACCAAACACCCAAAAAACCCTGCCCCCATAGAACTTAAATTCTAGTGGATAGGGGGCAGTAAATAGAAAACACATAAAACATGAGGGTATGACAGATGGTGAGGGTGTGTCTAGTGTTTGGGAGGAATAGCAAGAAGGTCAGTGTGGAGTGAGGAGTAAAACAGGAGATGGGGGGAAGGGGATGAGTGGTGCAGCAGATACGCGGGGCTGCATCTGTTCCAGCTTGTAGAACTTCGTGAGGACTTCAGCTTTGACTCAGAGTGAGATGGGAAGCCACTGGAGAATTTTGAATAGAGGGTTGAAATGATGTTGCTTCATTTTAAAGAGTCCCTTTGGCTGCCGTGTCAATATTGAACTGTAGAGAAGTAAGGATGGAAGCTGGGAGATGTCTTCTAAGAGGTTAGAAGGTTTTTGAAATAATCCAGGCAGGAAATGATGGTGGCCTGGACCAGGATGACAGCTTTTGGAGTAGGACATACAGAAAGTGGGACCAACAGGATGTGTTCATGTAAGGTGTGAGAAAAGGAGAGGAAGGAAGGAACACTAAAATTTTTGGCCTAAGCAGCTGGAAAGGTGGAGTCATCATTTCTTAAGATGGGGAAGGCTGCAGGAGTTTGGCTTTGCTTAAAATTAACATCCAATGGAGATACAGTGTAGGCTTTTAGAAATGGGGTTCAGGGGACTGATCGGGGCTAGAGACACATATTTGGAAGATTCATCATATCGATGATGTTTAAAACCACAAGACTGTACCAGATCATCAAGAGAGTAAATGTAGATAAAGAGAAGAGGTCCAAGGACTGAACCCTAGAGCCCTCTAACGTTTAGAAATTTAGGAGATAAGGAAAAATCGGCAAAAAGACAAAGACAGAAACTCCTGAGAGGTACTGATAAAACATAGAGGGATTTTTTTTTTTTTAATGTAGTTCAAAGCTGGAGAGATCAGCTGTGTCAGATGTTGTTATGATAAGTCACTGTGCTGATGACAGAACTGCTCATTGGATTTAACATGGTGAGTTGGTTGGTGACCTTGCCTAGAGCATTTTTGGCGGAATAATAGGGCTAAAGTCTGACTGGAGTGAGTTCAAGGAGAATAGAAGACAGAAACGTCAAGTGTAGTCAGTTCTTTGAGAGGGAGTAGAGAAATGGGCAATAGCTCAGGAAGGCTTTGAGATAAAGAGGTTTTTGTTTTTAGGTTGGGGAAATGACAGCATGTTTTGCTGATGGGAATGATACGGGGTGGGAACATTGCTGGAATGATGTCCTTGACAAGTGGAGCATCATAAGAGGAGAGAAGGCAAAGATTGTGGGCACAGATGTCTGGTAGTGGAAGCTGGGAGAAACTCTGATTGCTTGTATTTCTCTACGAAGGTCATCAGCTGGCCGTGAGGAGACAGGAGGGAGGTGGAGGCTTCAGTAGACAAAGGAAGGTATAAAGTAGTCATCCAGGAGAGTGGAAGGATAATTGAATTGGGGACATGCATCCAGTGCTGAGGGCCCACTTGATGTTAGACGTCATTAAAATAAAGCAGTAGTTCTCAACTGGGGCAATTTGGCCTCCAAGAGGACTTTCAGCAAGATCTGCAGGCATTTGGGGTTGTTACCACTCAGGACAGTGGAGGGACAACTAGTGGGTAGAGGCCAAGGATGCTGCTGAACACCCCACAACACGCAGGCCAGCCCCTCACCACCAAGAATTATCGTGCCCAAAATGTCAATAGTGCTGAAGTTGAGAAACCATGCTAGATAGAGAGACCAGTCAACATTGGTGTGGACTTTTCTCTAGCCAGCTGTGCAGAGGCATGCCCAGGCTCAGAGCGGCTGGAGAGATGGATTCAGCCAGAGCTGGGGTTTGCCAGGAAGGTCTGATGAAGTCAGAGGAGGCGGAGGACTGAGGGGGTATGCAAGGGAGCGATGATAGTGGTTGGTCATGAAACTTACTGGAGGCCAGGAGAGAAGAGAAGGCCTGGGGGTGGTGAGGGAAAGTGAACCAGTGGGAGAATCGGAGCGCTTAGAAGGGTTCCTGGAGTGGGGGTCGCATGGGTGTGCCTGGAGGTGCTGCTTGAAACCAAGGTCATGATGAGGTTGCAGACATGGCAATGACAAAGGCCAGGTATGACCACAGGAGGAAGTAGCCAGGCTAGGATAGAGGACACAGGATCATTGCAGAAAAGGAGGCAAGAAACAGAAGCCGTACGTATAATTATGACAGGAGTGGTGAGCCAGGACTATCAACACTGCATTTTTCTACATTTATTTGCATTTTTAAAAAATCATCTCTAGCCACAATTAGAAAGTGGGTTGCAGACCGCGAGGCCAGGCTTTCTTTATCTGGAAATGGAACTACAGCGGACCCGGCCCAGGTCCCAGCGTCTGGCGCACCATCAGGGTCCGTTTGGGGTGGCTGCCCTCCCTCCCATACCTGAGCTGCTTGCGGTGGAAGTCAGCCCTCCCTTCCAGACCTTCAGCGGGAGAGAGCAGAGGCTGTTTTCAGTCCTCAGCCCTTCTGAAGAGACACCGTGTGTCCTGGCCCCTCCGTTTTCCTGATTGTGAGCACGGGTATGAAGAGGCAGCAGACCAGTGGGCGGAGGGCTTTGTCTTTCCTTTGGGCTTCCCCCTGGTGAACCACTCGTTCGTTTGTACATTGAACCTGGTCAGTTTAGAGGCCTGATCTTGTCTGTGCCTTTAATTAAATGGTTCAAGGTCCAAATCCTCCCGAGTTCAGAACCCTTGCTGTACATGAAGGCATTACACTAGCATGGTCAGACTTTAGTCGGCTTAGTTTTTGGACCGCCCCCCCCCCCCCGCCCCGGGTCAGTAGGGGAAATGATCCCTGGGGAGATGACGATGTCCTCTCAGAGCCTTGTCTACTTTCCATCTTGGTTTGTAGGTTGAAAAGCCGGCAGCCTGCTGAGGGGCCGAATCATCTCCAGACCAGGCCTAGCGGGGAGGAACACACTTGTAACTCTTGAAGACCGTTGCGTTATTTTCTGTTTTGTTTTTTAAAAATATCTCTAGGAAAGCAGGTGGGGCTTGGTGGCAGGATGGCTCTCCTCTAATAGAGTATTTTCTAAACCGCAGTCCGTTGAATTTCAAGAGGCATGAGAAGGTATAAACACGGGTCTGGTGCGTGTAGGCAGGTCGCAACAGCAGGCTTACTCACGTCTGGAATGCTGAAGGACAACTGTGTGTTTGAATAAAAGGAAGGACAGCGTGGCAGACTGGGCTTTGAATTGAGGCAGGTCTCGTAGGCCCAAAGCCTGGCTTCCCTTGCTGACCCTGTTCTCCTATTTGCATCTCAGTTTCTCCACCTGCACACAAAGAGTACTGACCTAGAGGTAGCCAGAGGACAGATTACACCGAGATAGAGAAAGATCTTGAACTCAGCACAATGCCTAGATCAGTGTTCTCAACCCTGGGTTCGCATCTGGTTCACCAGGGATAGATTAGGAATAGATTCTCAGGCCCCATCCAGAAGTGAGGCGTGGGGATTAAGCCTCAGAATCACGAGATTCTGCCATTCAGCCAGCACGGAATGCTACTGGTCTAGGCTAGAGGTTGGCAAACTGGGTGCTACCCAAATCTGGCCAGGTGCCTGGTTTTTTGTAAATACCGTTTTACTGAAGCACAGTCAACACGCGTTAACTTACTGTTGTCTGTGGCCGTTTTTGCACTCAAGAGGCAAAGCTGAGTAGTGGAACAGAGACTCCGTGGCCAGCAAACCCTAAAGTATTTACTATCTGGCCCTTTACAGAAAAGGCTTGCTGACTTCTATCATGGGGGATACTGGATTTCTTTTTTTTATATAGTAATGATACTGTAAGTATTATTAAAATTATTTTGTCCTTTTTTATAAAATAGGATACATCTGAAACCAGAAATAGAGATTTGAATTACTTACTTTCTTTCTTTCTTTCTTTTTCTTTCTTTCTTTCTTTTTCTTTCATCTTTCACAGAAAGAGTGTCCCATAGAGAATTGAAAATACTGATCTGAATGTACTAGAAGGGACACAGGAAGGTAGGGAGAGTGGATTAAATGCTCTTTTTCTCCTAGTGGAAAGTCACTAGGTGTGTCCAGAGTTGACACTCGAGAAAAGACCTCCTCGGCCCAGTGTTCGTGGGTACAGCAGTAGCACCAGACCGACTGGGGGCAGCTACCCCAGGAACTGGTCCGGGGTGCAGGGCTGCTGGTTTTCATTGACTTAAAACAAAAAAAATCGGGATTTACCTCAAGTGTTTCTTTAATTACAGCATTTACCCTCCAGTTCCAGGACAGGAGAGCCCTCTGAGGTGGGCAGGAAAGAAATTCGAGGAGATCCCAATCGCACACATTAAAGCGTCCTACAACAAGTGAGTGGAAGGAGCACCTGGGCAGATCTCGGGGTGGGGGGCTTCTATCTCCTTCATGGGGGAGGGCAAGCCCAGGGGCCTGCATTCCACACAGTATTGTTGATGCAGGGGTCCCCTGGCGCCCCTCCTCCTTGTTTTGGGAAACCACCTCTGTCTTTATAAAGTTTCTTCAGATTTCATGAAAATGTCTCTGCCTGCCCTAGGACTAGTATTTCCTAGTTCTGCTCAAAAGTTGGAGAGAGTGTTTATTAGGGTGCATGTGTTAAGTGTTACTGGGTCCTGGGGAACAGAGGATGGATGAGATATACATGAGAGAGGTGGCTTAAGAGTCTATGATTTATTGACAAACTAACCAAAATATAAATCTGTAAGTATTGTCCCTTTGAAGCACTCACCTTGGGCCACTGTGCACTGACCTCCAACCTCATAGGGCTACACAGAGTCGTGATTCAGTGCGTGACTTCCAGATGAGTGTCGGGGCCTTCCCAGGCGCATGTTGGCAACAGAAACCTTGCTGACCTCAGGGACAGCTTTGCAGGCCGGCCCCCACTGGGAGATGGGCTCATTGCTTAGTCACAGCCTGCCCAGGAAGCGATTCAGAGAACTGTACAAGGGACTGTCGGTGGTCAGGGATGGCGTTGTGGAGCACAGCTGACATGCCAGAGGATTCCTCCAGCATTCATGTGACAAGCTCGAAGTGAGAGCAGCTGGGTTTCTTTCTCTCCCCTTCTCAGGCCAATAAGGACATAGGTTAGTGCTCTCTGTATAAGCACCTCTGCTGAAGTTGTGTCAGGGGCAAGCAGTTCTCCTGCACTTCTGTTCAGCACAGAAAACCCGGGCAGCCCCGCCAGGGGGAGAGGGCAGTGGTAGCCAGGCCAACAAGCAGACGGTCCGGACCCGGGTCCGCCCACCAGCCTCCCTGGCACGGCTCCTCCACCTCCCTCTTGACCAGAGTCCTCAGGGAGCTCCTCAGACCAGAAGATTCAGAGATGTTGGCCAAGGGGAAATAAAAAGCATGTCTAAGTATTTCTTGAAGTCAGAGATGACTAGAAAAATTTCACTTAAAAAAAGTTTTGTGATCATGGAACAGAGTGTCATTAGCATTAAAATGCTCCAATATGGGAATATTGCTCACTTTTTTAGGTATAATAATGGTTTTATGGGATTTTTTTTAAGTCATTATCTTTTAGAAATATGTACTGAAATATTTACTGATGAAATGATGGGTCTGGGATTTGCTTCAAAATAACCCATTGTGGGGGAAGAAGGGAGTAGAAACAGAGTTTATAGACAAGACTAAATTGGATAGGAGTTAATTCCTGAAGCTGGGCGATGGGTCCATGGGTGTTCATATACTCTTCTGTTCTTTTGGGTATATTTGAAACTTTCCCTAACGAAAGCCTTTTTTTTTTTTTTTTTTTTTAAGCTCTTATTTTACTGCCAGTTAGTTAATACACACTGTTATATTAGTTTCAGGTGTACAATACAGTGATTCAACAATATCCATTCTTTCTTATGGCTGAATAATATCCGATGAATAATAATTGCGTCGGATATATAAGACCCAGTTTTTTTTTTTTTTTTTTTTAAATTACCTGATGTGAAACACCTAACTTCTTAGAAAAAAAGCCCGACAAGGGTATCACATCTTAGATATTTCTTCTCGATGACATTTAACCACCCCGGATTCTGCAGCTTGTCTTAGTCAGACTCCTAAAACAAAATACCACAAACGGGGGAGCTTAAACAACGGACGTGGATTCCTCACAGTTCTGGAGGTCCAGGAGCAGGGAGCCAGCGTTGGGGGGTTCTGGTGAGACTTCCTCTGAGTCTCAGGTGGGCGGTTTTGCGTTGTGTCCTCTCATGATGGAAGGGGCGAGGGAGCTTTCTGGGGCCCCGTTCATGAGGGCTCCACCTCCACCCTGATGACTTCCTCACCTCCCAGAGACCCTTCCTCCAAATACCCTCAGGTTTGGGGTTAAGATTTCAACATGAATTTTGGGGGGAAACAAGCATGCAGTCCATACAGAGCAGTCCTTAGATGATAGGACGTGTCTGTTTTTGATGAGGTTTAGGGGTGATTCTGACCTTTCTTGACACCTCCTGTAGGAGTTCGAAAAGCACTCATTGGAGAAGCTCAAAGGGGAAGCAGCTGAGTGCCTTTTTCTTTCTCACGTGGGCTTGCAAGGGCCTGGTTAGTGTTGTTACTTCCCTGACCGGTCATTATGTCCTGCGTGCCTCCCTGCTTGCCTAGCACACAGATCCAGGTGGTCTCTGCTGCTCACCAGCCCCTTGCCCGCACTTCCTGTGGCACGGAGGGGTTCCGGAACGCCAAGAAGGGCACAGGCATCGCCGCACAAACAGCAGGCATAGCCGCTGCCATGGTAAGTGTGTGTTCTTTCTGGCTCCTTCTGTGGTGTGTCCCGGTCTCCGCATGGCTGACTGCTGTGAGGAAGATTCTTCTCGAAGCAGTGGTGTCCCACAACTCTTGTTCGATGCCCCAACCTTGGTGGCAATCTGAAGAGGTCTGTCTCTTTCTCTCATGCAATACCAATTTCATTGTGAGCTGTTGCAGACCTTTCTTTTTTTTTTTTTTTTTAGATTTTTTTTTTTATTTATTTATTTGAGAGAGAGAGAATGAGATAGAGAGAGAGAGCATGAGACGGGGGAGGGTCAGAGGGAGAAGCAGGCTCCCCGCTGAGCAAGGAGCCCGATGCGGGACTCGATCCCGGGACTCCGGGATCATGACCTGAGCCGAAAGCAGTGGCTTAACCAACTGAGCCACCCAGGCGCCCCCTGTTGCAGACCTTTCTAGAAGCAAATTGGCAGTATGCTCCTATTAGTATATTTATTGACCATGTACTGTACGCCAGACGCTTTACATTCATTACCTTAAATCCTCAGAAGACGCTCAGTATTAGCCCTGTTTTTGAGAGCCAGTTAAGATCCAGAGCGCTGCTTGCTTTGAGTCATTGGTCTGGGGCCCCAGCCGACGCAAGCTCTACCATAGCGCTGGCCTTACAGGGGTTCACGTTCTGCCAAACAGGAAGTATTTCCTGAGGGAAAACCTTGGCCTTCAAACAAAGCTTGATGCCCCAAAATATTATTTGCTGTGTATTAATGATCATCAAATTACAATACAGATTTTATACACTTGAAATGTCAGTGTTCATAGTGGCTTCTGCGTGGTAGGTTGAGTGACTTCCGTGTGTTTTCCAGACTTTCTATAATGAATAACTGCTTTTATAATCAAGAAAGAAAATTTTAAGTGATAACACTTAAAATTTTCAATGATTTAAAATGATAACGCTTTTTAAGTGGGTTATTTAAGCAAGGCCTTAAAATTCTGCCTTTACTGAGAAAAATGTGAGCCATGTTCGGAAATCTCCATCAGGTGGCAGTGCTGCCCTGGGTTAACAGGGATCACAGTTGGCTGTAAATCCAGAATCAGACATGTTCGGTGCTCTCTGCTCGGGTCGGCCTAGCACCATGACCGTCTGTCCTTTACTGCCGTTCCTGTTTTCTGCCCGTTTACATCTGTGGGTGCCTTCTCCCTGGACCACTAACCCCTGCTCTCCTCTCCAGAAAGCTGCAGGCAAGGGCGTGACCCACGTCCGAGTGGTGGTGAAGGGCCTGGGCCCAGGGCGCTTGGTAAGTGGCCGGGAGGCTCTGCAGCGTGTGTGCTTCCTTCGTGAGAGAAACGGGGCTTGAGCACAGAGTCAGGAGAGTAGACAAACCCTCTCCTGGACTTCCAGGACGGCTTAAGTTTCTTTCTGGTCTTCTAACCTACTGAGCTTTTCAATAGCAAGCCCAGGTCACTGAGCTTAATTCATCAGACACTTATGGAGCACCTGCTGTGTGCCAGGCACTGGGCATAGGAAGGTGCTCCATGGGGGACTGTCACAAGTGGGCCCCCCAGTACAGACTGGTGGGTGCAGCAGTATAGCTCGTACCCAGAATGCTGGGAGCCCACTGGGTATATCCCCAAAGAGGTGACATCTGTACTAACTCTTCAAGAAGAGCAAGGCATTAGCCAGGTGTGTGAGGAGGGAGGGGACATTCCAGGCACAGGACACTAGAAAAGGGTAATGCTTAAGGTGGGTTGGGGTTTACAGGTAGTCTTGGTTTTCAGATCGTAAAGCACAAGGTGGGGAGTGGCAGGTGCTCCTAGAGAAATGGACAGCAGCGAGGACGCGGTGAAGGGGTTTTGTGGGGAGTCCTGGGGAGAGAACAGAGTCAGGATTGTAGGGCTCAAAGCCCCCACCCCGTCCGTCTCCAAGCCCTGCGTGGATGTGCTGGGTCATCGTGTCTGGGACCATGGCATTTCTGCTGTTCCTTCTGCTCCTTCCAGTCTGCCATCAAGGGACTGACCATGGGCGGCGTGGAAGTGATCTCAATCACAGACAACACCCCCATCCCGCACAACGGCTGCCGCCCCAGGAAGGCTCGGAGGCTGTGACGAAAGGAAGCATGTCCCTGAACCTGGCAAGTCCCACCTCCAGCTGGACCTCGTAGAAGACACACTCTCCAAGCTCTCCCCAGAGCAGGGCTTGCTGGAGACCCCCTTGCGTGGCGGCCTCGCTTGTCCCTTCGACTGCAGAGCAGGGTGCAGAAAGGACTCGAGAGGAGCCCCAGGGCAGCTGCGGCGCAGACTCCACAACCCGGAAGCGCTGCTCTGCAGAGCTAGCTGCACCTCTGCCGCCTGTCCTAATGTGTGAGCTTCGGCTTGCCGAGTTGCGGGCAGTGATCCCTGTGGCCTTCCGAGAGTGAGGGCGCCGGGCGCCTGGGTGCCGCAGTCTGTTGAGCGTCTACCTTCCGCTCGGGTTGTGGTCTCGGGGTCCTGGGATCGAGCCCCGCGTCGGGCTCCCTGCTCAGCGGGGAGCCTGCTTCTCCCTCTCACTGTGCTGCCGCTCCCCCTGCTCGTGCACTCTCTCCCTCTATCTAATAAATAAATAAAATCTTTTAAAAAAAAAATGAAAGTGAGGAGGTGACTGTGAAGGGGGAGGGGAGACCTCAGGCGGAGGGGGAAACGTACGCACGAGCCGCTGCTTACCCGGCAGCCTCCTCCCTGCTCCCAGATGTTTCCTTTCGGGCCCCAAATGGAGAGCTGCTTGCCTCCTCCCTCTGGAGTATTCTGGTGGTAGAAATCCCACCGATAACGGGCATGTTTAAAGTTAGCGCCAGCGGTGTGGGAGGACTGCCTGAGCTCCCCCACGGTGACGTCTCCTGCGCACGCACTGGGGCTTTCGGCAGTCCCAGCGCCCGAGACCGCCCGAGATGCAGGGACCCCGAAGGGAGGAGGCAGAGGGGTATAAGGCGGGATTCTCTCGAAAACTGGCTGGATGGAGGGATGCGCAGGAGCAGTGGACGGTGGGGAGCCCCAGGCCGGACTAGCTGCTCAGGGATCGCCTCTGAGCTCCCGGACACCACACGGGAGCCCAAGGCGAGGGGTCTAGAGACCTGACAGGAGGGACCCCGCCTCCCTGGGCACAGAGAGGGCCAGGGTGGAGAGCATCACAGACGGGAAGGAGCAAGGCGCGTCCTCAGGAGCGCCGTTCCTCCCACGTGAGCAGGGACCGGGGATGGCCCGGCTGAGCACAGAGAGGCAGTGCGATCGGCCTGGACTCCAGCGACTTCATCCACAGGTGTCCTCTTATGAAAGTGACTGTGTTACAGAAGGTTGGGGGGGCGGAGACCATAGCTTGGGCATGAATTTAAAAGGAAAAATGTCTCCCTACCGCTTTCTCTTCTGTGCTCAGCAGGATCTGTGAAGGTTCACTTGTGACCCTTGACTAAAGAAACCCAACTAGAGGCCTGTCGGGTTAAGGCCATTGCCGGAAGGAGTTCCGCCGTCTCACCGTCAAACTACCTGTAAACATGATTCATGAAAAAACATGAGCACTCGCTCATACAGCTCCTGAGAAGCGCTCTGGGATTTGATACGGGTTAGCCTTTATTCGGATGGACAGAGGACAGTCGGACAGTTTATCAGGCAGGGCCCAAGCAAGAAGGTTAATGAGGGCTCTTTCCAGAGGTGTGGGCAGGCTTGAGGGAATAAACACCCCGGAGCACTCAAGGACTAGCCAGAGCAGGAAGCCGTGTGTTCCCCCCACCCCACCCCAGCAGCAGGCAGGGGCAGGAGCAGGAGGAACACAGCCTCTGCCAAACCCTGGCCTGGCCGAGAAAGGAAGGAAATGCCCTCACTGTTCCCCGCCTCCGATCACCTGAGGGCATCCCGGTGGCTGAACCCAACCAGAAGCAAGAAGGGAGGGGAGCAGGCTGGTGTGGTCCTAGAGGGTCGGCCTCCTAGGCCACAGAATGGTGGCCTCTGTCATTCCTGAGACCCTCCATACACTGTCATGTTAGAAAACGTTCTTTTATTTACAGGAGGGCTTTGAAATGGAAGGGAGTGCTCAAGCACGGACAGGACACTTGGGAGCCGTACAAGATCAATGGCCTTGGGCCCAGAATCAGGTGCCCGGCACCACCGCCAGATCCCACGGTCAAGGTGTGCTGGAGAACGCGCACTGCCTTATCATGAGCTCTCGGTGCTGTGTCCAGGCTCCGAGGGGCCAGTGAAGCCGTGCTCTCTGAAACTATTACCTCTTCTTCGTTGGTCTTGGCCTCTCCTCGGGAAGACTAAAGCGCAGTCACAGAAGCCTGACTGATTAAGGCAGTCATCATTGACTTAAAATGCTGGCCGCCCCGCCCCCTGCTGCCATAGTCCTGAGAACAGGTGGGCCGTGTGCTCGCACCTCCCTGGGGCAGAGAAGAGGCAGAGCTGGGCAGTGTGGCCCGAGTTTGCACAGAGTGTTGGCATCAGCTTGTGTGACACACTCCCTCTCTCCCTGGCATCAGGGCCTCGGATTATTTCCACGAGTACATCCTCAGCTTTGCTCCTACCGGCTCAGAGCTGGTGGCCCAGGACTGGAAGCCTCTACACAGGCAAAAGGACAAATACGACTTCTTTCCTTTCCACATAGATGCAATGGGAAAACATTTTCCCTTCTTTGAGCCAAGGTCATCACCTGACACCGAGTTGTACCGTCACGACCAAAATAAGCCTGCCTAACACTAGAGTCCCTGGATGCTGGCAGGGTATCACTGCGCTTGAGGGGAATCCATTCTCCAGTCGCCTCTGCCTGCGACCTCGCTCTGACGTGTCCATTCAAAAAAATGCGTATACACCTTCCCCCTGGGCTCCTTTTCCTCTCTCTCAATTCCTTTCTCCCAGTACTGGATAGACCCATTGCTTTTAAATCTCAGTAGTACCAGTGCCAAGTGATCGAGAGCAGTCACTGCCAAGGCAGAAATTGTCCACTCAACCGAATTAAGCAAACATAGGTTGTTTTGCACAAACAGGTCGGGCACGGCCGTGACTGTCCTGTATGCAGCTCACAGTCTAAGGAAGCTAGACAGACATGGGGCCGAATTAGTCAGAAGTTCCAGAAAAGAAGCACGAATGGCCCCCTCAGCTTAAGGGATGCTAGGGAAGGCTTTCTGGAGATGGCAGGCAAAAGAAGCAACTGGATCAGCAGGCGCCCTTAGGATCGGAAGCTGGCAATGCATCAAGACCCAGGTGACGAGTGAGGGGTTATCGGGTTATGGGGTACGGCTTGGTTGGCACAGAGGGTCCTGGGGTTCAGACTGGATAGGAAGACAAATAGAGGGAGAAGCTGACCAAAGGATGAGAGAAGAGAAAGGAGTCAAACACGAAGAATAAAGAGCAGGTTCGGCAGATGTGGAAAAGGGGAGGTGGGCGTGTGGAAGTTTCTAGACAAGAAGGAACCTGAGTGTTAGGGACTTTCAAGCTCGCTCCTTTACAGGTGATGAAGTTAGGTATGTAGGCGTCTAAAACCGAGTGGGAATAAGAATCCCAGAGGTTTAAGGCAAGAAACTCTGAGCTGTGGGAAAGAAAGCTGTCAGTCTTACTGCTGAAGCCGCAAAGGGAAGTTGGGGAAGGCGACAGAGAAGAAGGCTGTGAGGCTGAAGGCCCCAAACAAAGCGGACTGGCCCAGAGAAGAGGACGGCATGACCCCAACCCACGGCCACCGCGTGTGTGTGGTGCAGAGTTGGGGGAACCGAGCTCTAGGGGCCGGGGGGTGGCTAGAATCCCAGGGTGGACGCAGGCTGCGGGCTGGGGCGGTGGTGCCCCACTGCGAAGGGGGTACACACACAAGGCCCAGTAGTGCCTAAAGGGGGCAGGGACAGAGACCTGCCGTAGCCCCGTCGGCACAGGAACCTGGGTCCCTGGTCTCCACAGGAACCTGCTCTGCTTCTAACCTGCTTTTGTAAGGAACACAAAGATCAGAAACCACGAAAACATGCTCAGTCTCGGGGCTGGGTGGCTCAGTCAGGTAAGCGTCTGCCTTCGGCTCAGGTCATGATCTCAGGGTCCTGGGATCCAGCCCCACATCGGGCTCCCTGCTCAACGCGGAGCCTGCTTCTCCCTCTCCCTCTGCCTGCCTCTCCCCCTGCTTGTGCTCTCACTCTCGGTCTCACTCTCTCTGTCAAATAAATCTTTTTAAAAAAAAGATGCTGTCTTACTAGTAACCAGGAAATGGGAATTAAGATGCAGGACCGTCATTCCCCAAATGATGCGAATCAAAGCCATGGTAGGGGTGAGACTGCCCAGGAAAACAGTAGAGAAGGAGGAAGACAAGAGGCCAAGTTATAAATGCTGGAGGAGGAGGAGGCTGCAAAGGAGGCGGGGGTGGTGTCTCGGAAGCCGAGGGACAAAGTGCCGGCTGTGGCTAAGAGTTCTAGCAAGATGAGGACCGGGCAAGGCCACCTGCATTTGGCAACTCGGAGTTCACCACCCGCCAAAGGGACAGCGGCTGGGAGAGAGTGGGAGGTGAGGAAGGAGGCTGAGCGAGTCTTCCTTCCGGTAAAGGCTGTGTCACGGCGACAGGGAACGTGCCAGGACACCAGCACTGTCCCCTGAGATGTGGTGGACCAGGACTCAGGGTGTGGAGGCGCCCTGGCCTCAGGGAGGAGAGGGAGGTGGCTTAGATCTGGGGAGACGCAGCCCTTAGCAAGGGGGCAGGAAGCCAGGCCTCAGCAGGGAGACTCCGGGTGACAGGCGTGTGGCTGGAAGCTGGGGACAGCAGGGGGTTCGACTGGTCCCCAACAGCAGAAACAGAACATCCTTGCAAGCAGCACTCAGGGGACCTTGCTTCCCCTCCACATTGCATACAGTTGTTTGCAAAGAAAAGGGTCGTTCCTCTCTGAGCTCTGATTGCAGGGAAGAGAAATAGCGAGAGCCTCTTCAGAGGGAGGTTCGGCAGTGTCTGTCACCACGGCAGACAACGGAGCTCTGGCTGCAGAATTCCCCTCTAGGAATTTATCCTGCGGGGCGGTGCTTCCAGAGAACTCCTTGCACCATAGAAATGCTCCATCTCCCCACTGCTGCCTCATTAGCCACCAGCCTCGAAGGGCTCTGGAGCCCTGAGATGTGGCTAGCATGACTGAGGAGCTGAATTTTAAGTTTTCTTCCATTCAAGCTAATTGAAATGTGGCTAGTAACACGTTGCTGGTGGCTACTATATTGGACAGTGCAGCTGAGAGC